TTAAGTTAGGTGTGTTTTTTATTTGTGTAGATGTAGTTTGATTTTTTTGGGGTGATTTGTTGATGAGTGGGAACATAAAATCTATGTCATCCATGTCTTCCATATCATCAGATGAGATTTCAGATGAGATTTTGAGTGAATTAGTTTCATTTTTAGATGTTGATGAGTAATCGGCGTGTGATTGTGAAAAGTTTTGGGGTGTTGGGATATTGTTATTTAGTGACATGCTGCGTGTAACTTGTCTATTTTCTTTGTTGTTGTTGTTGTACAGCACGTGTCTGGATTTTTTTTTTTTGCTGTTTTCTTGATTTTGATTGGTAAGTTCTATTTGGGAAGGATCTACTTCGGTAATTATTGCACGTTTGAGAGATGAGTTAGAAAAAAGAGTTGGAAGAGAAAAATTTGTTTGAAATATATTTTTTTGATTATTAGAAATTGGAGTATTATTTAAAGAAGAGTTTGGAGATTGTGTCATAATGGCACGTATTGGAGATAAAAGATTAGAGAGAATTTTGGTGTTTTTATGAGAATTATATATGTTTTTGTATTTTTTATATTTTTTATAAGAAAAGAGAAAAAATAAAGAGAAAGTTGAATTAAAATCTATAATAATATATGTAAAGAGATAGTAAAGAAAGAGAATTTGTTAGTAAGAAAAGATTGATTAATTAGTATATTATGTGGTTTTTTGTGAAAAATATCCACTTTACACTTTTGTCGAATTTTTGGAAAAATGATCAGCGGGTAGAGTCCTGTTATTATTATTATTATTGTTATTATTAGCTATTTGACTATTGTTAGTCATATATTTAATTCTGAGTGAGATTTGTGTAATGTTTTACTAGAAGATAATGTATTGTCTAGATTTGTTATGTAATTTTCAAGATCAGGTATTGATGGATCATTGAATACTGAGACTGTGTCACTGGTATCGTTATATATTGAGACTGTGTCGCTGGCATCATCTGTTTCCATATTGATAATATTTGGTTCCGTGTTTGTGTCATTGAGATTAGATAATTTGCTTTTTTGGGACATGCTTTTGATTGTCGGTCTGGTTATCTTATTATAGGGATTATGGCACGATTATTTTTGCTTCTTATTCGTTGAAATGATTTCTGAATTTTTGCTGGTGTCATTACAGTTTGAAGTATGTTTTTTGGTAGTTGATTGTGTAGGAGAAGATAAAAAGTACTTGGTTAAGTTGTTGAGAACAGAACCTGAATTTTCTTGAGAGGTTGACATTATTTTTTGTGTGAAGTGTGGGGGATAGTTTAATGAATTTATTTTTGGTTTTTTGTAAGGAATTTTTGGTTTTTTCGTATTTTTGAGAAGTAATTGAAATAAAGATTAAAATATTGAAATAAAGTCTGTAAAATTGATATCTATGTGAAGCTTGATAGTAGAAGAAGAAATTTTGTATGTGTCGTTGGTGAAGTAAATGTTATAGTAGAGGAGCTATTTGACCTTTTCGTTTCTTGTAGTGTGGCTTAGTCCATGGACAAGAAATCTACATGAACTATTATTATTATTTCTATTATTATTATAACTGTTTCTTTCATTATTATTATTGCGGTTGCTATAACAAACTTTAGAAAGATGTCCAATTTTTCCACAGTTATAGCATGAAATATTATTGCGGTTAAAGCTAGTTCTATTATTATTATTATTATTGCGTTGGGAATTGTTACAATTATTATTATTGTTATTATTATTGTTCAAATTTTTAATTTGTTTGGTTAACTCTAACAAAGTTGTGTTGATGTCAGTGTTATTGGTTATTGTTAGTGTGTTTGATTGCATTGGCAATTCATAATTATACAGTATGATTGAGATTGTCAATGTAAATGGATTGTTATAAGTGGTTTTAAATCCGGTTTCTGTTTTAATAGCAATAAAAATAGCTTTCTCAAATGTTTCAGGTTGATGCAAATTAATGAAAAAGGCATATTGTGAATTGAGACCTTTGGTAAATTCACAAATTTTGTATTGAGTTGGATAGATATTATTTGGATTAATTTTGTGAAGCAATGAGCAGATATCAGCTGCATATTGGCTGACTGATTTATTTGCACTTTGAATATGATTATTTAATTGTTGTTGTCATAGTAACAGTTGAGTTTGTGTACGAAATTCTTTTAAGAAACATGATTTGAACATCGGTAAATTTGATAGATATCAAATCAGCAACAATCAGTAAATATGCTAATCATCACTAATTTTTTGGTTACACAAATTGAAAATCTGCGCAAAACTCTGAAAATAGAAATTTTGGAGTTGTATAACCCAAAGAAACTGTAATGATTAGCATATTTACAGATCATTACAGTTCTTTGGACATAAATTAAATAGATAAATGATAAATAGATCGATTATATGCATTATCATTTATTTTTTTTC